GCTCTGTGTACCCAGCCCTGCAAAGGCTCCTTCCCTTTTGTTCTGAGTAAGAGTCACTTCAGCCAAGCACAGGATTAATAAAAGCTGAATTAGATGAAAGGGGAAACCAGGTTAAAGAACTAAGTTTTAGCTCCCCCTAAATTGAAACTTATCTAGTGCCTGGATAATTGCTCATAAATACCTGCCGAGTTGCCAAGCCTACGTTGGGGCTTGTCAGTCCTTAATAAATCTTAAAGACTTAAAATCTCCCTCTTTGATGCAACCCATCACTTCCCAGTCCAAAGGTAGGGCAAAACAAAGCAGTAATGCTGAGCGCTGCAGCCCAGCTAATCTGGCAAAATGCAGCAGGATCTGTGGAAATGTGTGAGAAGGGCTGTGCAGGAGCTCCCGAAAAGGTCATTGGTATTTTTGGAGCAATAAATCATGGAAGGAAAGATTTGCATTTTGGCTGTATAAAATCCAGGGCTGGATTAGAGAGAGAATACTTTGCAGTAATATTTCTCTCCTGACTTGTTTTATTAGCTTCCTTTAAACATGTTACATTATTGCTTATAGAATTTCATTTACTTGGATTGGCAGCTTGATAAATATGTCTATTGGCGATGATTTGGATTGCTCTGGGCATTAATATTATTAAAACCTGTCACAAGGAAATGTCTGAAAGATGACTTACTGTAAAGATTACAGCATGAAATAAATCATACAATGGTATTTGTTACCGTTTATGGCCTCTTGGAGCCGAGTCAATCCCTTTTTATGTTGCATTATTTTTCAAGTTTTTATAGCCTTACATTATATATCGCTGTCAGAAATGAACAGATGGGGTGTCAAACACGAGCCTTCTGAATAATTCCCACCCTCGGGTTATTTGTATGAAGGACAAGTGTAAAACTGTGTTCTCAAGAAAAGGGAGATGGCTAGAGGTGGAGAGGGTGCTGCTGCAGCGAGCAGGATCCCTGGTGGCAGCGGCGCATTGTGCTTTTGAGCGCTCCCTGCTCCGGGATCAGGCTGCGGCGCCTTCGCTTGGAGGGCTCCGAGGGGAGAGCTGGGGAGGGTGTTTGGGCGACGGCCAAACCTGGGAGGGCTCAGAGAAACGCGGCTACCTCGAGGTATCGCCAAGACTTCGGCGGGGAGTCCTGAGAAGGCTCCCTTTGAGCCTCCGCAGAGGGAGGCCGAGGAAGCGGATGGGTGTTTGGGACCCTGGCGAGCTGTGACCTGGTGGTGGTAAGCAGGGAGCTCCCCTAGGGCCAGGAGACGCTCTTTTGTGTCCCACTTTTTGTTGTGTTGGGGAGTCCCATGTTTCTCACTGTGTGTTTTTGAGAAGCCCTTGTCAGAGTCCCGGTGACAGATGAGATGGATTGATAGTTAGATATCATGAGCTGGTAAATACACATGCAGTTAATTAGATTTATCTGTGCTAGAAAATTCAGCTGGGAGATATCCATCCGTGTGGATTCTTCCGCACTGCTTCTCTCTCCAAAGCTCCATCCCGCAGAGTCTTGCCCAGGTACACAGAAAATAAATCAGCATTACTTTAGGAACATGACTCTTCTTTGTGTAAAAGAACCTTTAAGCCGCCCTAATAAATTGTCCTGTCACCACACGGAGGCCGAGCCTTGCACACAGAGCAGTGAGCTCTTTTGATCCTCCCTGAACCGCGGCCAGGAGGGCTCGAGGAGCGGTGCCGGGATCCGAACGGCAGCGTTCCAGTTGACACCCACCCTGGTGAACGCCTTGCAGGGGTGCGGGCTGTGCCGCCGCGCTCTGCGCGGACGCCGTGCAGCTCCCACCGCCTCGTCCCGCGCCTCCCAGACCGTGCTGGCCGCGGGTCCCGCTGTCTCTAAGGGCGCTCTGCTTTCATCTTCTGGATTGAGTTTCTGTAGAGTTTGTCTGTGAGCTCCGCTTCCTGTTGTTCCCTTCTGCAGAGCAAAACATTCAAAGCATCAGCTATGGAAAAAGTCTCAGCCCTTGTCCTTAAATATAGTATTTTTGTTACATTCAGCTTGTATTCACATGCGCTGTACTTAGGCACTTAAACTCTTCGGTGTTTAGCCAGCAGTCTTGATGTCTGTAACCAACCAGTCCAAAGTTTATTCCAACTTCTCTCTAAAACCCTCCTCCCTTTTATTCCCGTGTCCTTTTTCTTTTGCTCAGACTTGCCATTTTTGTCAGAACACCTTATCTTTGGTATTTCCTACCTCTTCTCAGTATCCCTCAGTCTCTTTCTACATCTCCCATAAAAATATCCCTTCTCACTTTGCAGCAGGCCCTTGTCCCACGTTCATCATGAAGCTGCTGTGGAGTTCTGGGTGTTCACACTGCCCGTGCAACGCACACGTGCACTGTACCTGGTACCTGCACCCGCTAATCCCCTTCCACACGGTGCCGCAGCGTAATCACCTCAGG